TGTGGTTGTTATATTAAATTCTTTATTTCATCAACATATTGCCTTAATATGTAAGTATTATCACATCAACAAAATAAAGTGAAGTAGTACCCACCACAACACTTATGGCAGGAGCATACATATTTATTACCTATTAATTATAATAGAGGTAATCTACACACACGTAATTGAGTTTCATTTGTCTTCTGTAATCTCTACTTAAATCTAACCTTTACAAATAAATTCTCCTCTACCTGCTTTCACTCCAAAATCTCTTACCTCATAAGTACATCTTAGACAATTCTTACATATTATCTCTCATTCCTAAACATTTTGTATATGGTTTGTTTGTCTTCTGAGATGGAATTTTGCTCTTGTCACACAGACTGGAATGCAGTGGCATGATCTCAGCTCACTGCAACCTCTGCCTCCCGGGTTAAAGAGATTCTCTTGCCTCAGCCTCCCAAGTAGCTGGGATTACAGGCATGCGCCACTACGCCCAGCTAATTTTTGTATTATTAGCAGAGACAGGGTTTCACCATGTTGGCCAGGCTGGTCTTGAACTTCTGACCTCAGATGATCCTCCCGCCTCAGCCTCCCAAAGTGCTGACATTACAGGCATGACCTACTATGCCTGACTTGCATATGGTTCTTAGATGTCCCTAGATAATAAATTCCCCGAAGCCGAAAATCATTATTTGATTCATTTTCAAATCACAATAGTTTTCATCAAATCTAGATAGGTCAAAGACAGCTCTGGAAAATTATCATATGACACATTAAGGAGTGAAGAATTAATAGGGGTTCTTTGGGTAAAAAGTAGTTGAGAATGTTTTATACACAATGAAGTAGTTTATGTTTTAACCTGTAAGGCAGTGTGGTGTTCAAGTAATATTAGCAGCAAAAATCATTTAAAATGTTATTTGGTATCTTAGATATGAAAGGAGAACCTTATAGTTAGAATGGTAACCCAAATATCTAGGTATCTTCTTGTCATAACCCCATGTCCAACACAAATGGCTCTACCTTCTAAGTTTGAGGATTTTTGTCTTAAGATCACGGTTTCATGTTCATGCAAATAATGCCTCAGTAAGGGGAGGACTTGACTCATTTGAGTTGGAAGAGAAGCTTACCAGCTCTTAAAACGTGGGCAGAAGTAAAAGCCAATTATAGTTAGCAATTGAATTATGCATGTGCTAGCTTTAGAGGGGACCTAAAATCTAAAGCAAAGAGGAAAAGTTCTAAGGAGATTCAAAGTGAGGTTTTAATTTTCAGATATATTGAATTTGAGGAGTTGGCTTTTAAAAGAAGATTTGAAATGAAAGGGCATTTGAATATTTGAGCTAGGGTATCTTAAGACAAAGGGAGAGATTACACATAACAATGAATTTAGATGCTGTGGAAGGATATATAAGTTTGGATAGACTGGACATGTTTATTTACTGAGGGAAAATACGTTGGAGGGGATAAAGAAAAGGAGTAGATGATTGATGGACATCCAAGGAGGCAAGCAGGAAGAAATGGGATTCAAAGCACTAATGAATAGATGAATCTTGGAATTTAAAAATTAGTCTTCTCATCTGGATCCTTGAATGAACTCATGCAGAAGCCTTCCAGTTACCTGAACCAATGTTGTCGTTTTCTCTTAATCCAGTGTGGGTGGATGTTCTGTTACTTGTAACCTGACCAATACAGATAACCATCAAAAATGCTTCTCTTAAAATGTAAAGATGAGTGCGGTAAGATTATGAGTGTCTTAGAGGATGTTACAGAATCTTTTCTGATGCCTAAATTATTTCTCTGAACTAGAAAGCAAGATTATTCACTGAATGGTGTGGGTGAGGCAGGTCTGAAAATAGTAATGGAAACATTGTAACAATGTAAAGGAAAGAAAGGAGAATAGAAGTATATGTGATAATAAACAATGAAATGTAGCTAACTATAGAGTTACTAAGAGAATATCTTTCAGATTATCAAATTTGCTTAAAACTCCTTGTCTCTTGATTTTGGAATATACACGTACTAGAGTTATTCAAACTTGAAAACGTTGTTATATGACCTGCTATTACTGATAATTGCACACATCAAATATTAATCATGTAAATCATGTTAGAAAGCCTTTCTGTAATAAAATTAAAAAATCATAATTTTTTCCAGTACTTACATTAATTCCTTTCTCTCCTCTGAGGTGTTATTTCAATCTCCTTTTTAATTAAGAATAAGTGATGAATATAATTTATCAGTGTCTTCAAGAGCTCCTTATTGGCCTTGATTACATGCAAATCAATTACTTACTAATAATCTGTTTTTAAACAAATAGTATTATTTTTCACGTTATTTCTGAAGAGCAATAGATATACTTTTAGATAATTTGGTAAAATATCATTACATAACAATATGTATGTGTGTATATATATAAAAATAGAAATCTATGTGTGTATAAACTATGTATGTATACACATACCCACACTCAGCATATACAGTCATCTCTCAGTATTTGTGGAGGATGGGTTCTAGGACCCCCATGGATACCAAAATCCAAGGATAATCCAGTCCCTTATATAAAAGGTGTGGTATTTGTGTATAACTTACGTACATAGTCTTATACTCTTTAAATCACCTCTGGATTACTTATAATATCTAATACAATGTAAATGTTATATAAATCGGTGTTATGTTGTATTTTAAAATTTGTATTTTTGTTGTTTTATTATTTTTATTGTTTTGGTTTTTAAAAATGTTTTTCATCACAGTTGATTGAATCTATAGATATACAACCCATGGATACAGAAAGCTGACTGTACAGAATGTGGCCATATATTTCCTGGACCCAACTTTGTAAAAGAATGTTTATTTAGAATTTGCACTTTCTGATCAAGAGAGCTAGAATATATTAAAGTGTGAAATAAAAATAAATCATATGTTTGCATTTATTGTACTTCTATATAAATTACCTTAAAAAAGGAATGTTCTACACCAGTAAAATAAATAAAATGTGTTTTATCCATACATGGAGAAAGATAAGGCATTAATTTTATTTTCCTCTGTATTATTCAAAACATATGAATAAAAATTATTTTTGGTAATCCCTGATATAAATAATTTATTTGCTAAAAGTTAATTTATAAGATGATTTTTTATGTTATTGATGTGTTCCTGGGTCACTTGGCTACCACGTAAAGACTATTCAGCAAGTAGATAAAACTATATATATTGATAATAGAAAATGATTTTACAAAAGTCGATAGAATTACAAATTGTTAGAACACTTAGCTAAAGCTCCTCTTACACAGGTATTCAAGGCATAGTTAGGTAAACTTCAAAGACATTTATAGTAAAGTGTACATAGTTGATATAAAATTTGTACTGCCTTTTATCTGATGTAGAGAAACAAAGGAACAGGTGAAGATAAGCAATATTTTTCTGAAAAAATAACCAAACATGAATGTTATTAAAAAGAGATTTTAAAGGTGTTTTAACATTCTTATAATTATAGTCTTTTTAGATTCTTTTCTAAAGTCAAATATTATTAAACTGATAAGCAATTTGTATTATCTTCATGTGCTTTTAACAATCTATCTCCTTCTCTCAAATATTATTCTCTTAAAACGTCATCAAATAGGAAAATAAAAAACACTGACATCATTAAGTCCCTGGTAGGAGATCTGACTACCTTTGACTTCTAAAATAAAAATAATTGTTAAGTATATAATAAGGACCAAGAGATAAGATTTTTAGCACCTTATTACAAGTTATAATTTACACAGAGACATTTATAATCAATATGATCTGACTCTGTGTCCCCGCCCAAAACTCATCTTGAATTGTAATCCCCACGTGTTGGGAAAGGGAACTCATGGGAAGTGATTAGATCATGCAGGCAGTGCCCCCATGAGGTTCTCATGTTGGTGAGTGAGTTCTCATGAGATCTGATGGTTTTATAAGGGGCTTTCCCCACTTTGCTCTGCACTTCTCTCTCCTGCTGCCATGTGAAGAAGGACATGTTTGCTTCCCCTTCTACCATGATTGTAAGTTTCCTGAGTCCTTCCAAGCCACGTGGAACTGTGAGTCAATTAAACCTCTTTCCTTTATAAATTACCCAGTCTCATTTATTTCTTCTTAGCAGCATAATACAATATTCCTCCAATAATCTCATGAGTATAGTTGTTGCTACTTCCATTAATGAACTAGTGAGTGATACAGCCAGGATCTGAACCCACATAGATACTGTCCAAAGCCATGTCACAATTTTAATTATTTCTCACCTGTCAGACATGTAATTATTTAATGATAATGTCAAAAGGTTTTTTTTTTTTTTTCCTTAAGATGAATTCTCAACAGGACCATCTCTTGCTTCCTACAAATACATAAACACGATCCTAGAGCTTTGTTTGCAAACTTAATGAAAAGGAACTATGTAGAACCTTTAGTACCTTGTAATAATTCTTCTCACTTATTCTATAATCTGTCTAAACATATATAACATACTACAACATTTATTGTAGCCATGATGCATGTAAATTTTATATGTATTTTCCATGGAATGTGCTGATAATCCAGTGAGGAAAGTTAAATAATTAGTCACAAATCATAAAATAAACTAAGGCACAGTTTGGTTAAGTGATTTTTCAAAAGTCACACGGATTTAAAGTATTAGAAGACGGATGGCAACCTAGGACATCTACTTCCATGTCCTGAGTTTGATGTATGCATAAAACGTATCAGCTTTGTGTATTTCAATTTCAATTCTGCTACTAGTTTGCCAAAGGACCTTATGTCACACTCCTCTGGCCCTAATTTTCCACTTCTGCAAAATACATGGAACAATAAATCAACCTTTCTTAAAATATGTCCCTCGTAACTCTCATTTGTAGCTGCTAATTTTATTTAAAAAAAGTTTCATGAACAGTGGTTAGGAATAATAGGCTAAAAAGTGTAGATAAGGTTTTTTTTTTTTTTTTTTTTTTTAATTGAAGGACTGTTACGAGACTTGTTTATTTATTTATTTATTTATTTATTTATTTATTTGAGATGGAATCTCGTTCTGTCTCCAGGCTGTAGCTAAGGAATTGTACATCTTTCAGGATTGATACAGGATGCAGTATCCATTTGAAAATAGAAATTCCAATACTTCACTTCCACCCAACCCTCAATCTAGTGGAACTGAAGGCTTAGGGAGCATACATTTGAGAATTTTAAACAAGATCTTTAGATCTCATTTTATTCCAATGTATTATATTGTGCTTCATTGTATACTATTCTATTCATTACCAATAATGTTACCATCTAAAACTCATTTCTCTCTTTCACTCAAACACGCACACAGAAATACACATACACAGACACACACACACAAACAGTATAATATGAGATATGCTGTCATAGTCTGGAGATGTAGGAAAAAGCATAAAACCTACAACTTAGGCCTTAAAGTCTTGATCATTTCCATTATTTGAACTATGAACTAACTTTGTTTTACGCAGCTATTTGGTTTAAATATGGGAGGGATTAATGTATCTAAAATAATTTATCTTTAAAATTCAATACATAAGATACCTATTTTAGACCTTTTTAATAAACATTAAGTGATGAATTGCTTCATTTTATTTTGTCTTATTTCCCATACCACTTAAGGGAACTAACAGCAGGTGTCATTTGGCCAGAGGCCACTTCTCAGCTCCAATACTCACTAGCCTTAAAATTAAGAAATAAAGTTACATGATTTTCACATCTTTATCATTTTAAACAGATTAAAGATAGTACATTTCTCATGTAAGTGCAGTGATGACCAGCATAGCACCTGTCACAGAAGGAGCACTCAATAGGTATCAGCTTTCACTGAACTTTAGAACTATCTTAGTTTTTATTTTTAAATGAATCTTATATGCTTGTCACGGTTTGTGCCAGTTTGGAGCTGCATTTTCTTACAAAAAAATATTTTTATTACTTGTGGTGCATATCTTGGTATGGTGTTGTATACAAACTCATGGTAGAGATGCTCTTTACTTCCCTTTATTCACTAGAATAAAATGAGGTCTAAATATCTTGTTTAAGAAGAGATGACTTGTCATGCCTGCTGATAAAATCTAGAAACCACTATTGCCCATCACCAATGACAGGAACAATTTTAATAAGTCATTAAGAGTATTATAAGATTTTAACGGTTTATTTTGCTTTTTTATTTCTATCCAGAATTCCCTGAACAGGGAATTCCACATGAATATATGCAATGAGTATGTCCCCAGATCATAAAGGATTCTCGCTATAAAATGGAAATTATTTTGTCTAACATCATTCTGATTAAAATTTAATTCATGACCCTAGTTCAGATATTAGAAATAATTTGTGTCTCTGAGTTAACTAGCAAAAATTCACCAAGGTCACATGATTTTAAGTAGTAAAGTGAGAGTTCAGTTTGTAATAATTTTAGAGTCATCATGCTATCCATTATATATTGTCTGTGTATTTCCTAAAGTATCAATTAATTAAGTGGAACTAACCTAATGCATACATTAAGGCATAGGTTTGAAACTTTTTAATTTTTAAAAACATGATGTTAATTATTTCAGGAAAAAAACATTTTAGTAGATTGAATTTTTAAAAAATTTTAGTGTCAGAGCTAATTAACAGTTACGTTTTCCTTAACTATTACTTGAGTTATCATCATTTCCTTCCAATACATACTTGACACATTATAAGTGATAAAGTTTGCAAAGTGCAAAACATGGTAGAATTTCCTGGCTTAGAATGAATACCTAAGTATTGTATTCCTCACATACACAATTCCCTTTGAATCAGCATTAGTTTCAAAGTGTATGCTTTGTTCAAAAAATTTTTGCCCTCCTCTTATATTGATTTCAATTGTACCTACTTAATATCTGCACATTCTAGAAACACTAGAATTAAGGGGATTTTTGTCTTAAATTTAAAAAATATTTCTTTCTACTAACAAACCCAGATAATGTGGATATTTAATTCCTTTGTTTGGATATAATTTCAGGAGAGGATATGCGCTGTAAGTAGAAAAAAAAATGGATTGCCTATGAATAGCTGATGCAAGAGAACAATTCTAAGATATATTTTTACTTAATTCAAAATAGGTATGATCATTATCAGATATTAAAAGTTAACACTACGTACTCTTCCAATATAAAGTTGAGTTTCTTTATAATCTGTTTTTAAATAAGCATAGTATTGATTTCAAGTTGTGAACATATAAAAATCCATTGTTTTTTTTAAATCTTCCTGCTGTTAGTAAAACAGAATGTGGGTGCTTTAAATACTCTTGATGTGTCTATCACTGGCTCAATAGTTTCCCCTCCTGTGCAGAAGAGGCCTTTGTCTGTCACTGGAATCACTATGGAGGTGAGGATTGCCATGTCAGTTTTCTATCGACTTCTTAAAATGTAAGCACCTCATCTAGGCTGCCATCTCTAGAATGTCAGATTGGGTAGATGATACCATCACTAGATCGCACTGTATTTTGCCATTTGAAACCAGATGTCATTTCTGGGAAGAGAGTTGACGCCTTCGTCACAGAGTATTTCTCTTGTTTTGCTTAACATCTACTCACCTTTCGGTTTTGAAGAAATACAAAATACTAGCTGATAAGGCTATCCCCAGGCACAGTTTTCATGCTACCCGTGGCAGTCTCTGCACTTATAAAGACCCTTCAATAATCTGTCAAAAACTGACATCACTGTGTGAAAGCTGTTCATTTCTATATCTCATTTTGGATTGATGTACGTGCACTTTTATATCCTTCAGTTCGACATAACATTTGGCCTTTCATGTTCTCAGTTTAAGCTACAGGGAATTCAGAGCTATTTCAAAGCATAATTATACCAATCTGCATATAAAAGGCTATATGTCCTACAGAGGATTCTATGGAAAGCAAACTGTTTCAAAGAAGAAAATTAGAAGTAATTCCCACAACTAAAATTCACTAAAGTTAATACATTTTTCATCTGATGAGGACAGCTTTATTTTTTTAAGCCAATAGATCAATCCCAAAAATGGTGGGGATGATTTTTTGTGTGCAAGGTCAGGAAAAGAGGAGTAAGCAAGAACTGAAAATTGAAGAGGAAAGTAAAGCAACAGGATGTGTACATTATACATATTGTTTTTGAAAACGGCCACATCACCAGAAAAAATACTTCATATTACTGTAATACTTCATATTACTTCATATTACTGTATCAGACAATAAGATTCTCACCTACATAATGTATTAACTATTTATTGTTGCATGGCAATATACCCCAAAACATAGCAACATAAAACCACAAATATTTATTATCGCACAATCTGTGTGGTTCAAAAATTTTAGTGCAGCTTAGCTAGGTGCCTCTGGCTAAGGACTCTCAGAAGGTTGCAGTCAAACTGTTAGCAGGGGCTGTGGTCTCATCTGAATGCTCAACTTGGGAGTCTGCGTCCAAGCTCACTCATGTGGTAGTTGACAGCCCTTGATCTTGTGCCACATGGGTCTCTCCACGTAGTTGCCTCCACAACAGCTCTGCAAGGAATCCAAAAAATAGCAAGACAGTATATAAGAAGTTCTTCAAAATGGAAACAATAGCATTTTGATAACCTAATGTCAAGTGCGAAATCACTTCACTTTTATCACATTGATTTTTTAGAGGTGGTTTACTATATCCCATCTACATTCAGGGGAGAGGTATTACTCAAGGCTGTCAATGTTAGGATGTGAAAATCATTATGGGCCATCACAGAGGCTGTCAATCCTACATAAACACAGTCATGTTAAATTACTTTAGGTACTTTTTTATATTGCAAAAGGCATTTCAGAATGCAAGTTCTGTCGATGTGGTTTTAAACTAAAAGTAATTATACTACACAAACTCTGCATTCCTTTTCCCCAAATATATTGCTCTCCAAATATAATCTTGCTAGTTTTAGAAAGTTTCATTACTTGTAATTGATGAGTACAGTTACTTACATTTTGTAACAGTTTTTATCTTTTTTTAACATGAAAAATTGAAATTTGAAAAAAAAAAAACCAACTCACAAATATAATTGTGTAAATTCTGGAGCTAACAAAGTACTTAGCACAGAAGTTACGCAGCATATGGTTATCCTAGTCTTAAACAGTAAGATGTGTCTGTATGTGCCAACTCTTAATTATCAGCTCATTAACACTCAGGTGTCAATTGCTGGTGGTAAAGGCAATGCCCAAATGGCCTAGTTTCTGTCATGCACAGTGTAATTAAATTGACCTCAAGTACTGAAGCTTGCTAGTTGTCTGATAGTATTTGGACACTAATTTCAGGCCACTATTCAAAATAGAGTAATATGGTAAATAAACAAATGCAATGAGAGAAAAGCTATATTAAGTTTTATATTGTAATATAATATAATAACCTTAAAGACAATTGAATAAATAATCACTATTCTAATCTATAACAAATATAACAATGCATATTACCCCTTTGGTTTTAACATTATTGTTTTAAAATTACTTTAGATTTCAAGATAATGATATTACAAAAAAAGTAAAAATAAGTTATTCTAATAGTGACATAGGGAAAAATGAATTACATATTTTATTATTTTATTTGATATGTAAAGAAATAAATGAATTATTTATATTTAAAATTTTAGTTATTAATTCCAAATTGTGATTCAATTTCAAACATATCAATGCTTTTCTATATAGCCCTAATAACAGCAAAAATTAAAAAAAAAAATACTAAAGAGAATCCCATATTCAAACTCTCAATAACGTAAGATCAAATTTCCACATGACATTCTGCGTTATGCTTATAAGACTTTGCTTATTATGTCCATACATTATTTTCAAGCTCCCAGTTACAGAGAGGGGAGAGGTCAATTAATGCACTAACATTCCTTCCTCCTAAAACTTTATGAACGTGAAAAAAAGTTTAATGAAAAAGTTACAATGACAAAAGACAAACAATTGAGGAAATAACTATGACAACATTCTGAACGTTTGGAAGTAGATAAAAAGGTATAATTGACATACTAACTGCAAAAGTCTTAAAACCTTAGCTGGAATCTAAGAGTGTAAAGAAGAAACCTGGTTTATCCCACAGAAAATTCCAAAGGCTCAGTAATTGATAGCACAAATTAGTTCTGAAGTAGGGGTAAAAATAAACCTAATAAAAAGGACCAAAAATGTTATTAAGAAACAGTTAGACCTCCAGATGTCCTCATCAACTGTGCACATGTAGGTGATCAACTATTCCCTCTGGTTAGAAGACAGGAGATTTATTATTCTCTAAGGAGGTTGAAACAGAGTGCTCCAAATTAGAAAATAACAGGTACAGTTTAAAGTGCAATCGTCACACCAAGAAGTCTGGATCTTGGGTCTTCCAGATTTTTTTTCCTAGTTAGTTTTCAGAATTCAAGTACCCAGGCTTATACCTTTATACCTCCAGGCAGAAGACTTGAAAATATTTCTCTTGGTTATCTAACAAGACCAAGAAGAAAAATATGCCTAAACATATTGACCAGGAGTTCTCCAATTAAATGTTAGCCAGATTACCCTACAGACAAACATACTCAACAAGTCCTCCACACAGGGACAGAACTTATCTTCAGCATTTTAGAGTACCTAAATTCTTAATTATGAGATGACAGCCAAGTATCATAAAACATTATGAAAAGTCTCTAACATAATTATAGGAGACACTATTTGGAAAAAATTAAATGTAAAATAAACTATCATCAATATATTTGGATGAATAAAATAAAGTATTGCATACACAAAGAGTTAAAAGTACTTTAAAAGAGGAACATTCAGAAAACAAAAATAACTCTTAGAATTCAAGTAACAATAATAATAGTAATAATACAATAAAAAGCTCAGTAGAGGTTTGGAATAGATACATAACAAAATACCCCAGAAAGTATATTTTTAAAATACAGAAAAGAAAAAGTAATGAAAATTGACAGAGCAGTAGAGGAGGTTCAGCATCCAAATAATGAAGGATCCAAAAAAATGAAGAAAAATAAGGGAAGAAATGATGAGAGTAATAACTCGAGAAAATTTCAAAAGTTGAAAGTCTTGGGTTTGAAGATTAAAAGAGCTGACAAAGTGCCGCAACACGGATGAAAATGGACCGTCAAGTTACACAATACCAGATTTCAGACCTTAATCACAAAGAGATTCTCTCACAAGTTTACAAAAGAGCTGGGGGATCCCGTGTTCATGAAAAGTTTATTTACAAAAATGGTCCACTTTGTTTAGAAGATGATATGGAAACCCTTTCAAAGAATCAAAGCTTAACAACAGAAAAATTTGGCATGAGTCAAGCCTGACCAAGACCTAAATTCTTCAAGTGTTCACATAGAGTTTTGGTCATTTTCATACTAGCTACTGCTCACCCTTAGTGTCTGAGGCCTAAAATTAAGGCCCATTGTTATGTGTTGGCATCACTAGGAAGGACTCAAAAAGTCTAACCTCAAGTTCCCTTCCCACTCTGCTCCAGAAGATGAGGTCTCTTAACCAAACCATCCTCCTTATCAATGAGACCAGGCACAGGCCCTGCTTATCCTGGGTTTCCTAGTAGTGATTTCAGTTCCCTGCTAACACATGGAATTATTCAAATAAACTAATCACATCATCCCCTTGGAACTAGGGTGCACTTCTTGAAACACAAAGCTTTTCTCCCACAGTCCCTGGTTGTTCCCTTTGTTTCCAAGTGCAACCTCCACATGGTCCTGTGCAGAATGTAGTGTCCTCCTCTCCCAGAATGTGAGAAGATGTGACTAATAAATTGTTGTAGATGCCATTTGTCCAGTGTCCAGTTTCAGATTCTCCATCCCAATAATCCCAGGGCAGGAATCCCTCCCTCACCAATAGAGTGATTGAGAGGCAAGTAAAATAACCTCTTAAAGGATGACCTCCAACCATGACCAAGGACACCTGGTCAACTTTAATTCATTACTTTTGGCTAAGTGGTTTCATGATACTAGGAAGGCCACATGCGAACAAACCGCTAATTGGTTCCAGTACCACTTTGTTCCTTCTCTTCCCTTTCTAGGAAGCACTTGTTTTTCTCCAAAAGAAGAATTCTTGTTAATTGACTGTGCCTAGGCATGACTGACTGTTGGACTTGGTCTGTTTTTGGCAAGTGTACCTGAGTCTCCTGCCCATAAAAGTAGTGACAACACAGCACCTTAAAGGTAGGCTGGTGCTTGAGTCCTGCCTATCAAGGGTAAGCTAGAGCTCTCTGGTTATAGCATCTAATCTAGTGACCTCCATTAGCTGCTTGGGACAGCCATGTGGATATTAACTGTGACTGTACACACCCAGGAGGAACATGGGATGACACATTGTCAGGTTTGTAGAAAAGAAGAAGACTGATACCCTAGAAAGAATTAAGCATGGCTCCCAGGTTGCCTAACGAGAGCCGCCGTTCAGGCAAAGGTAGCCACCTTGCCCACTTCCTGTGTAACTGTTTCCCTCAAAGCATCCCATGCATCCTCCTGACTCCCAGGGGTACAAAGGCAGACATCCATGGCAGCCCATGGTCAAGGCACTGATGGAAAAATAATGAGAGAGAGTTTAGGAGCATTTCTTACCAGCCCCTCTTAAAACAATGGAGAGGTAATGCAGCTACTCTCCCAGTGAAAAACCCTATCCAAAATACCTAGGCTTTTCTTAGTGTTGCTGTTTACCAGCATGCAAAAGTACTTCACTGCCATGCCTGCCTCACAGTCAAAATGACCTTACTAGATGCGGACTCCAGCACTGAGGGGATTGACTGATATTCACTGGGGAATGAGATAGCTGTCTACAGGTGGACTACTAGGCTCCCAACATTTTTACCCTCAACCACACAGAAGGTCTCCACCAAGAGTGATCAGGAAACAGACTGAAAGCTGTGATTATTAAACTTTATATGTTTAGAAATTCAAAATATTCTGAGGAAATTTGTACAGAGAGATTAAAAAAAAAAAAAAAAAAAAAAGGAGAGAGGCTGCATGCCTATAGTAGACAATGGTTTTGAGAATGACCTCTGGGTCATGACCCCAGAACTCTTCCATTGTGCCAAAATGTTGTCTGTTTCTCTGTTGCAACAAAGAGCATGATTCTTAGCTTGACAGGGTAAAATACCCATGACACCCCTATGGCATAGCATAGGTGTTATTTAAAACCCAACTTAAGTCTGGGGCTCTTAAACCCTATGATACAACCATTTCCTTGGAAAGGGCCCCTAATCTTTATGATAATTATTTAAGGTTTGCTAAAGTAAAAAGTTTATAACTATGAGCAGAGTATAGAAGGGAAAAACTGTTAGAAAAAGAAGAAAGGAATCTTGGATACAGAGAGAGAGAACAAAATTCAAACAAAGATATATAATTTGACCACTTCTCATTGCTTCTGGAATCTCTATACCATGGCATAAGCTGACAGTGGACTTCTCCTTGGCCCTACACCATACATCTTTAACGTGGCAATTTTTGGTCACATACTGGGCTTTTCTGGAAATAGAGAACTCTCATAGACATTGGCTTCTGATCCTCCAT